AGGTACGTCTGGAAACAAGGACTTCGGGTCAAAAGAGGGAGTTCTAGAAGTCTTCCAGGGAGGAGTGAAGACATACAGATATGGGAAGTACAATCAATCAGAAGGTGCTACAGCTTTATAGAGCCCTACAGAAATAAAACGGGGACATCATAATGCCCTAGCAACTACTGATGAGCATTATTAAATCTGGAACGAAAAGGCATGACTTTCTAGAACAGTAAGGTGAGCTAGATGGGCCTGTAACTAGGTTCATAATGAGAAACAGAAAGAAGATACATCAGTGCTCTCGTAGTGCAGACAGGGGTGCCCAGCCTGTGGCCTGCAGGCCGCACGTGCCCCAGGAGATCAGTGAGTGTGACCAACACAAAACTATAAACGTGCCGAAATATTGACAGGTGGAGTTTTTTGGGAAAAAAAATTATAGCTCAGTTGTGTGGTTCTCCAGCATGAACTTCGTGTTATGTCTTGTCACAGTGTCAGAGTTGTGACCCAGAGGGAAAGCTAAACCCAGTGTCCCGATGAAGGAGTCTGATAATAACACTGAGCAGCCTTCAAAACTAGAGCAATCCAAACCCCAGCTCCATGAGACGGGGTATTCTGCCAGAGCGGGGGTCAACCAAGAAAAAAGCAAAACACCCCTGTTCTAGAACCTGGAGATGCCACAGAAGTGGGGAGTCTCAGGAACGTGGCTGAGGGAGAGCCATGGAGAAGCCCGGCCAAGAAGACCAGCTCCCAGATCCTGACTGAGTGCCTGGCTTCCGAACTGTCGGGAGAGCCGCGGGTCAGGGGAACAGAACCGGGGAATCCGTGTTCAGTTTCTTCAGCCAGTAGAGCAGTGCAGTAACTGCATTGTTTCTGAACCTGCCTTAAAAGGCCTGTGCGTGCACTCTGTTTGAAACTGTGTCTGGCTTTCCCTTCTAGAGGATGTTAGACCACAAATAGAAGTCTCCTCCTTGAGGGCACCCCTCTTTGAGGACAGACACCCCTCCTTTAGGACAGACACCCCTCTTGAGGACAGACACCCCTTCTATAGGACAGACACCCCTCTTTGAGGACAGACACCCCTCCTATAGGCCAAACACCCCTCTTGAGGACAGACACCCCTCCTATAGGACAGATACCCCTCTTTGAGGACAGACACCCCTCCTTTAGGACAGACACCCCTCTTGAGGACAGACACCCCTCCTATAGGACAGACACCCCTCTTGAGGACAGACACCCCTCCTTTAGGACAGACACCTGTCTTTGAGAACACTGTAGTTGTGGGCTGCCTTAGCAGCTGATCACAGGCAGATAGAGCTGAGCCCACCCAGATCACCAGCCAGTGGAGCTCCTGAGGCAGGCGCTGCTGACAAATGCTTTTCTGTAAAGAGCCAGGTAGTGAAATACTTAAGGCTTTCTGGGCCGAGCAGCTCAACAGAATGTCGTGGAGGCTCTGTTATAATGGGGGAAATGTTTTAACTTTTATTAATGAAATCCAATATAGTAATGGCAGAATTTTTACTAATGGAGACTCTAATAGAACAGAAAGAATAGAATTCTCTTTCGAGATGAGTTCTGCTTCATTACGACCCAACGTTCCAGTGGACAAAGTGAGTTGCTAGTGCTCACTTTGAATGTAGGATGTTCTAGATGGTCTGTTAAAATGTCCTTCCACACAGATAGATTCTGCCACATGTCAGTAAACTTAGAAGTCCATGGACAGTCATCTCCAGGGAGGTGTTTCCAGAATTCCACTGTGTTCTATACAGATTTTATATATATAATTTGTTAAATACAGGTGAATTACTTGAGTCAAGGTTGCATAGTAAATGTATTTTGAAATGTGAAAATTTCCTTTTACTCTGGTGGAAATTGAACCAAGGACCTCGTAAAGGCTAGATGCTAGGAAGTACTCTACCACTGAGCCATAGCCACAGTCTCTTTTCTAAAACTTACTCACAAAATAAGTTTTGGCTGGCTGGTCTTGAACTTCTGTGGCCTAAGCTGGCCTTGAACTTGCTTCCACCTTCCTCAGTCTTCCGAGTATGTTATTTTTATTTTTAATTGACACATAAGTATACATATAATTATAGCACAGTGTGCTATCTTATGCATATATTGTGTAATAACTCAGGGTATCTGACATATTCTTTACTTTATACATTTATCATTTCCTTTTTGAAAGATTTTGACTCTAGTCACCCACTGTACCACAGAACACCAGAACCTGCTCCTTTCAAACTGTAACTTTGTACATATTGAACACTCTTTCTATCCGTGTGTGTGTGTGTCTGTGTATTTAGTATAACTGAGCACAGACATGTAAAGAAAAAAATGAGTTCACAGGTTTGGAAGCAGAAAGTCTAAGCAAGGGTGCTGCTGTGGGGAGGTGCAGGGCGTGTGTGTGTGTGTGTGTGTGTGTGTGTGTGTGTGCGCTGTGCGGGGGTGGTGCTGTGGACTCTTCTCTGGTAAGGCCTCCCTGGCTGTGTCTCCCCACAGCACAACAGGAGTTATGTGAAAGGAAAGACCACATGTGTCCAGAGATGAAGTTGAGGAGAGAATTCAGGACCGGACTTCCTTTTTAAAGTAACTCAGACTTGTAGAACCCATCACAGACCACCAGACCAACACCAATCCCTATTGGAACCCCAGTGACATGTCAAGGTCGCCTTCCACTAGGCTCCACCCCTTAATGCCACGGTGAGGACCAAGCTTGTAGCATAGGAACGTTTGGACGCCAGCTTTAGCAGATAGCCTCTGTTTACTCTCACCCATTGCCCCAGGTCACCCCACCACCATGCTGAGTGTCAGTGGTTCTGTGAAGTAAGAGTCAGAGAGAGTAAAACTTTGGACAATCCAGATTTTTCTCCCAACTTTATGTGAAACCTCGCTGTTTGTTCCTTTGCATCTCAGTAGACACAGATTGCTGGTGTGTGTGCTGGAGATCAGAGGGTGGCCCATGCCCATAGTGAGGGGAGTGAGAACTCACCATGCTTTTCCCTGGCTTTGTTTATAACAGCTTTGAGAGATGTTGTGGGAAGATCGGGCAGGTGTTGACTTTGTTGGGCCGTGATGGCTCACACCTTTAATCACTCTGGAGGCAGAGGCAGGTGGACCTCTGTGAGATAGAGGCCGGCTGGGGCTAAAGGGAGACCCTGTCTCAAAAACAAACTGATGACCCCATGTTGACTTTGATGTACTACTGCCTGCTGCTTGGGGAGAGGCGAGAATGGCTCTGGAGTTCACTGAGCCTGTTTGCAGACCTGCATAGCAGGAGAGAAGACCGCACACCTGCTACCCCAGAAAACTCTGGACCGAGTCACTGGCAGCAGCTTCAGCGTCCCAGCTCTGGGCATGCTTTTCTTCCATCACCTCACTAGAACCTTCAGGTTTTTATTTGTAAACAGCATCTGGGGTAGCTGTCTGTCCCTCAGTTTCTTCCTGAGAAGCACCTGTCTGCACCCCTCTTTTTTAAGAGGAGCCTTGCGGACATGCAGCATCTTCCTAGTGACTCGTAATAAGCACCACCCCCATGGTGCCTGTTGATGTCCCCCCACACTCTTGTTGAGTTTCTCTCTGTTTGTATTCATTTGTGCCAGCGAGTTACAAACACACAGAGAGGACAGAAGATGTTTCAGGATCTGGGACACTGCTTTACGGACACCAGCAAATATTTAGGAGATAATTTGTTGCCAACCACAAATTAGAAGTTCCTGTCCCTTGCGAAGTCCGATCTTCACCTCTCCTTCATCGCTCCCTGTGTGAGGCCTTTTCTACAGTTGTGTGCAACTTTTCCCATGATACATAATTACATTGCTGCATCTAGAAATAAAAAATTAAGCATGCATTTATTCCCCAAAATTAAACAACCACATAAATGTGATTTACCAATTAAGAACTGGTAAAAAATAAATCATTATGCAACTTCGTAAAGGATATAAATCATATTATAAAAGAATGCATAATAGCTTAAGAAAATATTCAGAATATATTTCAGTTGAAAGTTGGCAGAGTTACAAAATATCCCACACAGTGTAAGTCCTACCTTTATGCCCAGTTCTCTCCTTCCTTCCTCCCTCTCTCCCTCTCTCTCCCTCTGTTTCTCTTACATACATGTGTTTATATGTAAACATGTATATTGTACATTCATATTTTCTACATTTAAAAAGTGTCTACAGTAAGTAGGTTTGGAATGGGGAATTAATATTTTCTGTTTTCGGGGTCACATGCAGACCCACAGAGGGAAAAGCTCTTCCTTGATAGTGCCACTGCCCAACAGATTACGGACGGGGCCTGTTGGGATGAACGGACCTAAGGAATTCTGTTTTTAGCTCTCATTCCAGTCCAGGAGGCACTGTTTTTACAGAACACTGCTACTTCCTGAGAAGTATTTCCTCCTTAGAATTTTAGCCTTTTTTCTGTTTATCTGCCACTCTGAAATCTCTGGGGTCCCGATCTCCAGTTGATGAAGACGGAAATCAGGCCCTGGACCTCTCATGTCCGATGGCAGCTCACAGGGTGGAAGTTGGCTTCTTCCCACCCAGTGTCCAGCTCTCAACACCTTAGCCTGATGTGAGAGCAAGCCGGCTAGCTGTGTTAACACCCTTGCTGACTGTGTGGTGGCAGATTAACCATAAAGAAGGCTGTGCAGCGTGGGGAGCTCTCAGAACAGACACAGTTGGAAGTGTCATGTGGAGGCAGGGCAGGAAGGCAGTCACAGACCCTGGAGGGCCGGACCCAGCAGCCTGTCAGCTCCCTGTGGTCAGCATTAATGCTTTTCTTTCCCCTTCACATTTAGGAAAGAGGGTTCTAGAAGGCTCCTACAGTTCCTGATAGCTGTCATGAGCTGCCATTCTGGTCTAAAGATGGGCCTTGAGCAGAACAGTGCTCATGGAAGGGATTGTCCCATGAGGGTGGCATAGTGCCTGGGTGTGCCTGGGCGTGTGTGCCTGGGTGTGTTCGGCTGTGCCCGGGTGTGTCGGTACAGGCCACACTGACCGTTTCCACGTCCCACACAGGAAGCTGTGAAGGCAGCCATCATAGAAGAGCAGAAACGGAGCGAGAAGGCCATGGAGGAAGCGGTAAAGAGGACCAGGGACGAGCTGGTGGAGTACGTGAGAGAGCAGCAGAGGGTAGGTGTGCCCGGCCGAGCCCCCAGGAGCGGGCTGCGATGTTGCAGGAGCACAGCTGTATGGTGCCGCAAATGCCCTTTATTTCAGGATGCGGTGATCTCCTCTGAAGGTTTTCTTCCTTCCTGCGCAGTTACATGTATAACGATTATCTCCGTGACCATCCCATTGCACTATAAGAAAGCTCCAGTGAGAGGTCCCTCCCTAGGCCCTGGTGACACCCGTCACGAGGGCAGTTGCCATGCATTTGTCAGTTTCCTGTCATGCTTTCGATACGTGAATGCTTTAAGCTTCCTGTGTTGGCCCCACGGTGGTCCTAACAGATTGCTTTACAGTTAGCAAATGAAGATGGTTTTTCCCTGGTCCATTTTTGGATCAGGTCAGAACATGCTGGTCTGGCGGGAATTCAGGAAGCACTGAAGTGCCTTTAAGGTGACCGTGGGCAGTAACTGGAAAGTGCAGAACGAATTTTGCTTCTTGTTTTTCCAACAAATCTTTAGTCTTAAATGCTATGAGACGTTGAATATAATCTGCATGATGAATGTGTGACACGTCATATGACCTGGCTTCCCCCAGTGACTTAGTGTGCCTTCTTTATGTTTACTATATGTCCTATGTTTCATAAAATACTGTAACTATATAACATGCAAATACAGACTAAGACCTGCCATGTGATATACGATGTAGTGTTGCAAGTATATAAGTAAAACATGCTACAAATGAAGAAATTGGTGCATAATGGCTAAGCTTAATTGCTGGCTAAAAAGGCACAGGAAATGGAAAGTGTGAGCTCCCACCCTTCAGAAGGTGGCACAGGGGTTGGGGGGCAGGGGGTGCTGAGGGCACAGGCCTCGAACGTCAGTCCTGTGCTCTTAACTTCAAACCAAATGTGGTATGCTGTGAAGAACATCCGCACCCTGCTATTGAGGAACCAGTTGTGGTTCCTGCTGAGCATCAGTTAGTAGACTTTGTCCCTGAGGAGCCCCCAGGTAAAGTAGCCATTTACAGACGCTTCTGTGTGGGGGTGAATCCTTGAGGATCTGGTGCCTGGGTAACTTTAGAAGCATTTTTCCCCCCGAATAAATTCCTGGTAGGGTTTTTACCTTCTGAAAATTCTTAGCAATTGTGTGTCTATGTGTGTGTGTGTCCATATGTACATGTGTTTGTGGTTTTTTTTTTTTTGTTTCCTGGAGTGTTTATTTTAAATAATCTGGTTCAAGAACAATCAAGCCTTGAGGGAATGGTGGGTGCTTTCTGCATGCACTCAGGGTTTGGTCACAGTAGTGAAAAGACACAGATTTGAAATGAGTCCAGGGGTTTCTATGGACCCATTTGTTATGTCATCTTTCTTCTTTAGTAAATTACTTTCTTTGGGGATAACAGTGCTCAGCTCCCTCAGCAGAGTTTTATGTCTGGCTGGCATCATCAGACTCTACATGCCATGCTGTACAGCAGCTCCTTAAAGCTTATGGGCAGACCTGAGGTGCTCCTGGCTCCCTCCTGATGCCCGCTTCCCCTCCCCCGGCCCCAGTAGCAGCCATCCTGCTCTGTGAGTCTTTGAATTAGATGGCTCAGGAACCTCACACACCTGGCATTGTACAGGGTGTGCTGTGCAGAGCTGGCTTATTTCAGCCAGCGTGGTGCCCTCGAGACTCATGGGTGCTGACAGTGTTTAGACCTTCCTTCTCCAAGACTGAATGGTATGTTGTTGAATGTGTCTTTATTCAGCTGTTGATAGACATTTAGATTGTATCTACAGGTTTAGTGTCTTTCTGAATACTTGATAGCCGATCCCTTTCAGCCCCTGTGTCTGGACAGAGAACATGTAACAAAGCAAATTCACTCACAAGATTATTTTGGAATAATCTTTTTTTCATCCTCATGGAAATTTTAGTGATTCTTTTGTTGTTTTTTGTTTTTATTTTATGTGTACGAGTGTATTGCCTGCATGTATGTGAGTGCACCCGTGTGATGCAGTGACATGGAGGTCAGAAGAGGGCTTCGGATTCCCCTGGAACATGAGTTAAGGATGGTTCATAGCCTCCATGTGGGTGCTGGGAATCGAACCCAGGTCCTCTGCAAGAGCAGTCAGTGCTCTTAACTGTGAGCCATCTCTCTAGCCCCCTCCTAGAAATTTTAAAAGTCACATTCTTCCCTATCAACAGGTATTATGTGGCTACTATAAGAAAAACTTCAAGTAAGAGTAAGAAAGGCCTCATTAAGGTCCTCGGATCCCTGTGTAAAGCAGGTTAGTGTTTAGAAAGAACTAGTCATGAGCTAGGCCATGCAGCCTGTGTCCTACAAAGGACTAAAGGACTAGGACTAGCACTCAACTGTTACTTAGAAATAAATCCCACGTTCACGTAATGTTCATCAAATAACAGTAATGATGATGAAATCATGATGAACTTGGGTCCCATTTGTACTGTTTCATTTATCCACGATTTTGCCCTTAAATTGAATATCCAGCTCGCAGAGCTGTACTCGATTCGTACACAGAAGAGCTGGGGTAAGGACGGCATGTGCTGTGTACTATATAAATATAAGTGCAGGGAGGGTGCCAACTGGGAAGGGGGATAAAGATTAAAATTATACGATTTTAGAATTAAAAATATATAGTATATAAATTATACAATTTATACAATTAAAATATATATACATGTATGTGTTCTGATTATTGTCTTCAGAACAGTATTTAAAGTGGGCTGGAGAGATGGCTTAGTGGTTAAGAGCACTGGCTGCTCTTTGCAGAAGTCCTGGGTTCAAATCCCAGCACCCACATGGCATTTAACAACTGTCTGTAATTCCAGTTCCAGGGGATTCAACACCTTCTGTCCTCGGTGGGCATTGCACAGCACAGGTGCACTTGCATACATGCAGAATGCACATAAACATAAAAATAAAGAAAAAAAAAGTTTTGTTATTTTTTTAAAAAGTACCCAGAACCTGCTAGCTTACATATTACTTTTGCTGATTGAAGATATGAGTTCAGGGACTGGAGAGATGGCTCAGTGGTTAAGAGCACACTCTATTCTTGCAAAGGACTTGGGTTCAGTTGCCAGCACCAACATGGTGAAGGGCAGCTAACAACTGTCCTTAACTCCAGTTCTAGGGGATCAGGGGCCCCTGGTGACCTACCTCCACTGGCATTGCATGAGAGTGCTGCACTTAGATGCATGCCCGCAAAACGCTCATACACATTAAATAAAAACAAATAAAAAGATTAGTGTTTACCGACCTGTCCTAAAAGGTCTGCAGTATGAATTCAAAGTTTTTGTCCCCCCTTGTTAACAATTCATGCAAGTTGTCACCTGATAGAAGGGTGGTGTGCTTGTGGGGGGTCATGACCTCTTCTGCGGGGGCCCAGCATCTTATTAGTGAGAGCATGGATGCTTCTAGTGCTTGAATGTTTCTATTTCCCCAAGGAGAAAAGCCCTTTTCAAAAGGTGTGTAAAATGAGCTGGGCATGGTGGTGCATACCTATAATCGCAGCGCTTGGACGACAGAGGCAGGAAGATCTCTGTGAGATAAAGGCCAGCCTGATCTACATAGTGAGTTCCAGGCCTGCTGGGGCTACAGGGAGGTCCTGTCTCAAAAAAAAAAAAAGGCGTATAAAGTGTCGCTGGAGAGATGGCAGAGTGGTTAGGTTAAGAGCACTTTCTGGTTTTGCAGAGGACTGGGCTTTGGTTCCCAGCACACACATGGTGCTCATAGCCACCTGTAACCCCAACTCCAGAGAACCTGACACCCTCTTCTGGTCTCCAGGCGTTCTTGCACACCTATGATGCACACACATACACTCAAGGCACACACAAATACACGTAAAATAATAAACAAGTATATCTTTTATACAAAGTTGTAAGTGCACCTGAAATGAAAATTTCTTTACTCTCTACCCTTATTTCCACATACTTATATATCTTGGTGTTTCAAGGTTATTTTAATAAATTATCTTGGGACTTGGAAAACTTTTACAAAGAAAAGGATGCCTCAGCTTACAGAGTAGCACTCAGGAGAAGCACTTTTTAAAACACCATTCACGTTCTTCTTGTCTCTTCCAGAAGATTAAACGAGGGAAGCCGTCTTTTCTTCTTTGGGAAGATGGATTTCTCTGTGCATCATAGAACATATTTTCAGAATAAAAATTTTCCTCTCCTTTCTCTAGCTCCTTTTTCAAACATAGTGTCAGCTTGTGGTTTCCAGCCTCTGACTCCTCCGAAACCCTGTGGACATGGGGCTTAGCTGCCAGACTGTGAAGTAACCTTGAAACTTTGAGAAGTCTTTGCTGGTAGAAGTTCTTATGGTTGAGGTCGGCTCAGCTCGGGGTCTTAGTTAACCTTGCTGTCAGTGTCATCAGACCTTTTCCAAACTCACTGAAGGCTTGAAATGAAGACTTTTTACTTCACATTCCCCCCTCAGACATAGAATGGAAAATTCAAAATGCCCAATTTCCCAATAACTTAAAAATTATCCTATGTATAAAAACACAGTAGAATCACATGTCAACATAAGATATAACAGCTCTTTTTATGTACCTAAATCAGCATGTTTCCAGGTAAATTCAGTCATTCAAGGCTGTTGAGTTTTAAAAATAGAGTTATACTAGAATTAAAATTAGAGTTGTGCCGGGAAAACAATTTTATACTTTAATAGCATTTTATTCTTTTTATGAGTGGCATCAAGAAGATGTATAGACATCTATATAGATCTATAGACAGCTGTGATTCCTCTGGCCTAAACTGCGGCAGTGTGGCACGAATTACCTTTATGCACTAGTGAAACAAGTCATGATTCACATGCCGGTCACTGCCAGCGCTGTTCACTGTGTATGTTATGTAATGCTTGTACTATCAGTCCAAGTTACAAAACATAGTATGTAATCAAACTATTCTATAATGAAAATTTTCAGACATCATCCAGAGAAATAATTTAAATTAACGATGAGCGGTTTCAGTCCTTTTAAATGATTTTAAATAGTCATCCCAAACATCTTTTCAAAACTG